ATCAGGACTGTCCAACAGAAATATTCTGTCAGCCACTCATGATCTGAATTCTGGTGTATGAGATCTATTAAATTATGGTAAACATAAAAAAGCCATGAGACGTTTCTGCTTTGTAATAAATAAGGCAGTGACTATTACTCATTAGTAGCTGTTTTGAGGTAAGCTGTTAAGTCTGCCCTTTCTCCCTTCTTCTTAATGTCAGAGAAGATCATTTTTGTTCCAGGGATGTACTTCTTGGGATTCTCCAAGTACTCCATCAATGTATCCTCTCCCCCGGAGATGCCTTTGTTCTTGTTGGCATCTGTGTAGGAGAATCCAACAGCTTGACCTGTCTTCCGCCCAAACAGACCATGGAGATTTGGCCCCGTCTTGTGCTTGCCTCCCTTCTCCACAGTGTGGCACTGGGCACACTTCTGACCAAAAATCTTCTTGCCTTTCTCTGCATCACCCATTTTTAAATCTGCTGCGGCTTCCGCGTCCAAGGCTCAGCACTCTTTCGTCGTTACCACAGATAAAAGTCCCAGCTCAGAAGCCAGACGTCCTGCTCTCTACCCCAAGGACACGGTGGTCCACAGCTAAGTACCGGTGTTGATGCAACCACACTCGCTCTCGAGAATAATTTTTTAAAAGTGTGTTTTGCTAAGTATATAGGAACCCCCCCAATTTTCTAAATAACTTACTCATATTTATACATACTCATACATTAGCCATTTTTATTTTTTATTTTTACTTTACTTCTTAGTTTTATTTTTATTGATACATGTTTATAGTATATGATTACATTCATTGTACAGACTTGATTCATGTACACATCTTTTTATGTCCCCTTTCCCTCCCTCTGCCCCATCTGTTGTTCTTCTTACTATTTGCAAAAGGTCTATTTCCATGTCTCTCATTACCTTTTATTTTGCTCTTTAATTTATTTATACTTTGGGTTTTTCTTTTTGGTACCAGGGATCGAACTTGGGACCTTGCGCTTGCAAGGCAGGTGCCGGAACCACTGAGTTAAATCCCCGGCCCCTACTTTGGGTTTTTCATATGAGAGAAACTATGTGATATTTAACTATGTGATATTTAAGCTGTGTGTCACATTCATTTCCTTCACCATTATGGTCTAAAGGCATCTATTTTCCTACAGCCATTTGTACTTTTTTTGTGAATTTTATATTCATGACCTTTGTCTATTTTTCTGGTACATTAAAACTTCCTTATCTGTAACAGTTCTTTTTACAGTCATGTACTGCTTAACAATGGGGATATATTCTGATAAATGGATCATTAAGCTATTTCATCGATGTGGCATTATCACAGAATAGATTTAAATGAACCAAATGGTACTACACTTGATCTTAGCCAAAAGGCCGAGAAGCAATTGAACCAAATGGTATATAGCCTATTATACACATTGGCTACGTGGTATGCGGGCCATGATGAACAAAACACAAGAAATTAAATGAAGCACAACAAATGATACAGTTAAGAGATTCAATAAATATGAGATGTAGGAGGCAGCTGCCCATACAATATGGCATACTGTTTAGTAAACATTTGTAAGTAAAAGTACAGTCTAAAATAATGATTAAAAAGTATATATAATGAATCCATCAACCAGTAACACAGACATTTACTATCATTATCAAGTATTATGTACTATTCACAATTCTATGTGCTGTACATTTATATGACTGGCAATGCAGGTTTCTTTTTACAGCAGCATGACCATAAACATACAAGTAATAGACTGTATTGTTAAGCTACAATGGCTACATCTCTAGGTGATAAGAATTTTTTAGCTCCATTATATTTTATGGGAGAACTATCACATATGTGGCCTATCACTGAAAAAAATGTCAGTATGTGGTATATGATTACATATTAAGGCTAACCCTGTTTCCGTGAAGCATGTTATCAAGTAAGGTTACTGTGTTAGTTATTTTTCTCTTGTTGCTGAGACAAAATACCCAATATCCAAAGTTAAACGGGAAGGGGTTTATTTGGCTGATAGTTTGGAGTTTTCAGTCCATAGCTGGCTGGCTCCAAGACAGGAATGACAAACAGCCCTCGCAGAGGAGGAACAACAGGGCACACACAAGGTAGCAAAGGCAACAAAAGACAGCTTCTGCCTCTTTTATCCCATCCAGACTACTGGGGAGTAGGACAGTGCTAAACCACTCACTCCTGTGTAATGGTTTAATAATCACATGCCCTTAATCCCAGCATCACACCTTCCAGATTCAGCCACCTCTGACCATGTGAGGCTTTGGGGGACATCCAGACCCAGACCATAGCATTCCGCCCCTGGCCCCCAAAGGCTCATGTACATTCCCTTACACAGAAGCCATTTAGTCCGTCTCTAAGAGTTGCCAATGTCCTAACAGTTTCAGCATTGCTGAAAGTCCAAGTCCAAAGTCTCCTCGGAGATTAAAGGCAAACTCGTAGCTGCAAGCCCCTGTACAGATGAAAGAAAGTTAAACACTTCCAACATTCAAGGGCACAAGGTACACATTACCATTCCAAAAGGTACAAATAGGGGGATACAAAGGAATGGGACCAAGGCAAGTCCAAAATCCAGCAGGGAAAATATTAAATCCCACAGTTCCACTTCCAGCATCTGAGACAATCTGTGTCACGTTGTGAACGCCAAAGAGCTTGGGTGGCTCTGCCCCCAAGGCATTTCTAGTGGTTGTAGCTCCCATGGCTTCTCTCTCAGGCCAGCTCTGCTCCCTCTTTGTAGTTTTCCTCAGAGGATCCACATTCCTGGCTTCTCCAAACTTCTGGGGTCTCCACTGCACCCTTGGCTCCACACATTCTCACACACTTCCCTCTCAGGGTACCCTGCTTGGCCTCCCAGGCCTTCTTCTGAAATCTGGGTGGAAGTCTTCCTGACTCCACAACTCTTGCATTCCGCAGGCACCTAAAACCAGCACCACGTGGATGACACCAAGGTCTGCTGCAAGCTGGAGCAGTAGCCAGGCTTCTGTCTCTCTTGGCTGTAGGGGTCGAGTGCCTAGACCGCTGAGCACTCTGAACCCAATCCTGAGGAACAAATTCTCTAGGCTGCCACCATTCTGGAACATGGTGCAGCCACTGCCATTCTGGAACCTAGTGCTCTGGGGTTTTCTTCTCAAAGCAAATTCTTTTACCTTTACAACTCTGAGGCTGCAAACGGTGGAGTCCTGCTGCTTCCTGTGATGCTCTCAGGCCATCTTTTCTCTTCTCCTATTCCTTCTCAGCAATTAAGATCTCCTCTGTTCTATCTTTGCAGTCAACAGCTTTACTAGAGCTTCCTTTCTGACTAAACTCAAAACATTTTAAATCATTCTGACGTGGTCT